GCACAGGGGGGGATAGGCATAGCGGGGGATAGGCATAGGGGGGGATAGGCATAGGGGGGGGATAGGCATAGGGGGGGATAGGCATAGGGGGGGATAGGCACAGGGGGGGGGTAGGCATAGGGGGGGGATAGGCATAGGGGGGGATAGGCATAGGGGCAACGACAGGGGGGGATCGTCGGAAGCTGGGCGAGGGCTGCTAAAACCGTGGCTGCTGAAACGGCCCTCCCGGAAGGAGGAAACAGCTTCCCGGAGGGAGGCGCGGCACGCGAAGCGGTCAACGGGCTTCCAGAGGGACGAGGACAGCTTCCCGGAGGTCGATTTTCGCAGCCACGGATGTAGCAGCCTTTGCCCGGCTTCCCAGATAGGCCTATAAGGGGCGAGGCATCGACCCCCAATCGCCCGTTCAGCGCCGATGGGGGCCCGATAGCTCCAGCCCGCCCAGGAGGGTGCGGAGTCACTGTCGGGGGCCCATCGCCGATCTAGCGGCGACGTATCGCCGAGTCCAGGTCGGTGTATCCCCCCCTTTGCCTATCCCCCCCCTATCGTTGCCTCTCACCGAAGTGCGCGCGCGCAGAAGCTGGTTCGGACAGACCGCCCACTTCTTATCGCTAATCGCTAATCCATCGTCACCCGGGCTGTCCTCCTCCTTCTCCTCGATGGCCGTTTTCCTCCGTTGCGCAGAGCCGGTACCATATTTCTGTTGGCTCCTGGTTTCAAAGTGTGGAGCACCATGGCCAGCCCCAGCAAGTGAAGCTGCCCCTTGCTTTGCACCGCGCGCACGCCACGCGCAGGAGTCCAACCCCTCGTTTGCAGAGTGCTGGCCGTGCGCACCTCGGCAAGCAAAATTTAGCTCAAGTCGTACCGGGTGAACGTAACCTCTGAACCTGTCTTTGGTGCGGACACTCCACCCGCATCTTATCGCTACTCCATCGTCATCCAGGCTGTCCTCCTCCTCCTCCTTCTCCTCGATGGCCGTTTTCCTCCGTTGCGCAGAGCCGGTACCATTTTTCTGTTGGCTCATGGTTTCAAAGTGTGGAGCACCATGGCTAGCCCCAGCAAGCAGCGTGTCAAGCATGAAGCTGCCCCTTGCTTTGCACCGGGCGCACGCCACGCGCAGGAGTCCAACCCATCGTTTGCAGAGTGCTGGCCGTGCGCACCTCGCCAAGCAAAATCAAGCTAAAGTCGTACCGGTTGAACGTAACCTCTGAACCTCTCATTGGTGCGGACACTCCACCCGCTTCTTATCGCTACTCCATCGTCATCCAGGCTGTCCTCCTCCTTCTTCTCCTCGATGGCCGTTTTCCTCCGTTGCGCAGAGCCGGTACCATATTTCTGTTGGCTCCTGGTTTCAAAGTGTGGATCACCATGACCAGCCCCAGCAAGCAGCGTGTCAAGCATGAAGCTGCCCTTGCTTTGCTCCACGCGCACGCCACGCGCAGGAGTCCAACCCATCATTTGCAGAGTGCTAGCCGTGCGCACCTCGGCAAGCAAAATCAAGCTAAAGTCGTACCGGGTGAACGAATCCTCTGAACCTCTCACTGGTGCGGACGGTCCATTTTTTTTCTAATGATTGTGAATTCTTCGTCACCCGAGCTGTCCTCCTCCTCCTCCTCCTCCTCCTCGATTGCCAATTTCCTCCGTTACGCAGAGCCATCGGGTGCGCATGGCCGCCGTGCTCTCCGTGGTCTTCTTGTTTTTTCGTGCTGCCATAAGTCCATTGCCGCTGATGCTTACACCAAAAAGCACACCCTACCGCACTTCCGGCCATGCGTTGCAAGAACTCCTTCCCAGCGTCCTTTTATGACGCAGCAATGAACACGTTTCTTGGGAACCCGTAGGAGAAAAGGTCGCACAGGTCCCGCAGGTGCCAGAAGTTCCACAGGTCCCACAGGTCCCACAGGTCCCACACCCCACAGGTCTCACGGGCCGCACTGGTCCCATAGGTCCAAGAGGTCGCATACGTCCCACAGGTCACGGGCCCATCATGTCCCACGGGTTCCACAGTTCGCACAGGCCCCAGAAGTCTTACAGGTCCCACAGGTCCCTCAGAGCCCTCGTGTCGCACAGGCGCCGCAGGGCCGCAGGCGGTACCGGCCTATGCTGCCCCACAGGCCCCACAGGCCCCACAGGCCCCACAGGCCCCACAGGCCCTACGGGTCCCACGGGTCCCACGGGCCGCGGGAGTCCCGAATCTCGCACAGGCCGCGCAGGCCCACGGGCCTCACGGGTCCCACAGGGCCGTCGTCGCAGGCCGCGCAGGGGCCCACAGGTCCTGTGTTTCTGTTTTGGCTGGTTTGCTGGGATATTCGCTCGCTGGTGTAATTCGATTGTTCAGCAAAGTCCCGGGTCAGGGGCCCATTTTATTCAGAGGATGTTTTCCATGCTTCGGGGGGTTCACAGTGATGGTGTGTGGCATCGTTAGGAGACATCGTTGTGTGATCATGCCGTGGTGCGACAGACATTGCCTGGCGTTGAAGATGCCGCTGGTGAACATGCCCTCGACCTTGAGATGAAAGCACGACGCTTGCGGTCCAGGCGTCCTCGTCCTCTTCCTTGTCCCCCTTCTCCTCGTCCTCCTTCTCCTCGTCGTCCTCGTCCTCCTCCTCCTCCTCCTCGTCCTCCTCCTCGTCCTCCTCCTCGTCCTCCTTTTCCTCCCTCTGAACTCCAGCACGGCCGGCCGTGGCATGGCCCCGCGACAGAAACCAGCAGGTTGTCGCAGCACATGCCGACCCTCCTCTCCTCCGTGTTGCTCCTCCCTTGCCTCGGCATCGCTCGGACGTGTACATCTTTTTCTCGGCGAAGATCATCGAGGATCATTGTGGTCCACCTCGCGGAAAAATGCACGCACAAAATCAAACAACGCACGGGGAATGGATGTCCGAGCGATGGCAAGTTGCAGATGGACGTCGGGAGCACCGACGCCCAGCGCGGGAGGGGCAGCCCGTGCAGCGGGGCGGCCTCGCCGGGCACCACGGGCCGCGCGCGGGGGGGGGGCGCGAAGGTGAGCAACCCAGAGCCACGACCTGGCACGGGGAGTGGATGGACCCCAGAGCCTCGAGCGAGTCCTCCTCCACATCCGCCCTTTCGTTTTCCTCCTCCTCCTCCTCCTCCTCCTCCTCCTCCTCCTCCCTGTCCTATCCATGGTCTCCCCGTCCTCAGGTGGTGCACCGTGGTGGCACACCAGCCCGCTTGTCCCACCAGCGAGGCTGAGGCGTCTCGGAGCCACATCGCCTCAGCCTTCTGACCCTCCACGTCACCCGCGGGTGCACGGAGGCTGTCGCGCTCCGCGCGCCTGGGCACGGGCCGCGGAGGTGCCCTTCTCCGGAGTGGCGGCGCGAGGGCGCAGGGACAGCCGCGCGCCGCGCATCGCGGGGCGCGCGATGCGCGAAGTCAGTTGTCCTAGAATGGAGTCGGGCACGTCTCTCTACAGGAGGAAGATCCCACAATAGCAACAAAGAGTGTGGGGGCGGTTTCTGTTGCTGCTTTTTCTATGATTCTGTGTGGTTATGTTTCGGACACGTGTTCGATTCTTTTGTGTTGTCCTATTCCCAACATCGGCCGGGGCCTCCGGGGGCAGCGCGCCAGCGCGGAGCGCACGGAGGCCGCCCGCGGCATTGCCCGGCACGGCACGCTGCCTCCTCGAGGCTCCGCGGAGCCCGCGGCTCGCCCTCGCGGCGAGGGAGCGTGGCGCGGGGCCGGGGGGGCGCCGAGCGGAGGGCGGGCGCCAGAGGAGGAGGAGGAGGAGGAGGAGGAGGAGGAGGAGGAGGAGGAGGAGGAGGAGGAGGAGGAGGAGGGAGGAGGGAGGAGGAGGAGGAGGAGCAGGAGGAGGAGGAAGGAGGAGGAGGAGGAAGGAGGAGAGGAGCAGGAGGAGGAGGAGAGCGGGCGGGCGGCGCCGAGCGGAAGGGGGGGATTGGGAAGGGGGGGGGTACGAAGTCTGCGGCGTGCGGCCGGCTTCGGCCCCCACCGAGGGGCCCAGTCCTCGCGAGGCCTGGCCGTCTCCGGCGCCGGGAGGCGCCGGGAGGAGCGGTTGCGCGGGCTGGTTCTCGAACCCCCCCCTTTGCTATGCCCCCCCCTTTCGCCCCGCCCGAGTGGCGCGGGGCCGGTGGGCGCCAAGCTGAAATCGGGCGTGTCCCCCTACAGGAGGAAAATTCAAAACTAGTCAAAAACATAGTCAGGGGACGATGTTTCAATTTTTTGGGGGGCCACTTTTGAATATGTTTGGATATTTTTCATTGGTCGTCCAAAACCCGCCTGTAGGAGGACGCGCCCGACCTAACGCCAAGCGGGGGTGGCGCCGCTGGCGGAAGCCGGCGGAAGCCGACGCCGCCGACGCCGCCGTGGCGTATCGCGGCGCCGAGGCGCGCCGAAGTTGATGCAGATGCGCCGACGCTGACGCCGACGCCGACGCCGCCGCCGCCGACGGCGAAGACTGCGACGAGCCGACGACGACGCGAGACTCAAGCAGTGGCGAAGCGTCCTGGCTCGCCTATAGGCCTACCAAATAATGTTCTAAGAACTGTTTGTGATTTCCACGAAATGTTATTAGAGCATTTCTGGCGGGGCCTGTCTTGTTTTATCACATCGGGTTTATGTTCTAAGAACATTTGTTGGTTCTTAGAACATGTTGGTGTTCTAAGAACATTTCGTGGGAGGACTAACGGAATGCCGGGACGGTCGGTCCCTGCTCAAGAGACGCTGAAATATGGTCGATTTGCGCACATGCCAGAAGGCGCGCGGAGGGCAAGAGATGAGGGGGGGGATGAAAGCCTCACGTCAGCATGTAACTCTTGGGAGGCCGAATTCAGCAGAAGCGCTGGCATATCTGTACATCCATTGCTGAATAGTTGCGTCCTCCAGCACCTTCCCGCTTGATTCTGTTTTTTGGGGCTACTCTGGCTCAGTGATGATCCCATCGTCGGGCTTGACAGCTTCAAATCCTCCTGACGAAGACCTCCCAGGAGTTTGCTCCTAGCTCACGCGGGGGCGGGGCCCGTGCCGAGGAAGCCACCCCGGAGCGCGTGGCGGCCTCCTTCAATTCCCTCATCTTGCCGTGCATCCTCGTGGCGATTTGGGTCCAGCTCACATGGTACATTCCCGCCCAAGGCCCTGCCACTCCTGGTTGCGCCGCATCTTCGGGGGACCTCGCCTGTCCCCCAAATTGATGTCTTCTCTTGTGCCCGACGCGGGTTCGATGCGGGCTCGATGCGGACTTGGCGTGGATTCGGCGCGCATTCGAGTAGGATTCGACGAATCCGACATGCATTCGACACGGACTCGACGCGGATAGGGCAGCGACGGGACAGGCAGAGGTCCCTCGAGGATGCAACCCGGTCTTGGGAGGCGAGTTCCGAGTCGGCTTGCTGCGTGCGCGCGTGTCTGCGGGGCGAGAGTCCCACACGCATCCGGCGCCCCTGGCCGGGACCGTCCTGGGCCCAGAGATCGGTGTAATGAGATTCGTGGACGGCGATCAGTGGAGAGGAAGCACACTGCAAAATGATGTCCAGATGTCTCGAACATGTTTAAGACATGTCTTAAGCACGTGCAAAACATGTGTTTGACTGTTGTAGAGCATTCTTCAAACACCTGAAGCACAAGCCAATACATTTGTGTCAAGGATCGGATTGTTAGAGTCTCCAGTGCCATGGCATCCAGAAGATTAGACTATGATCGCTGGCCAAGCCCAAGGGGGGAGCGGGCGCCGCTCCCGGGACGGGTCCGTGGCCAGGCGCGGCGGATGTGTGCCAGGAGGGGTATATACATATACATGTGTATATATAGATATAGATAGATAGATGTGTATATCCGTAAGGGCTTCGCCCCATGCCGCCGGCCCCCTGTCTCGGATGATGGGAGATGCAAAAGCTAAATCATGAGGTCTGGGTGCCGCCGTGAAGCAGTGTCGGGACTGATTTGTTTTTTCGACCCTGACCTTACGGATCTGCGTGAGGGGTGCCGCTGGATTTCAGAAATGTGGCAAATCCCCTGTGTTTTTTGGACCCTGACCCTACGGATCTGCGTGAGGGGTGCCGCCGAATTTCAGAAATGTGGCAACTCCCTTATGTTTTTGGACCCTGGCCCTGCCTGCGTGAGGGGTGCCGCCGAATTTTAGAAGTGTGGCAAATCCCTTGTGTTATTGGAACCTGACCCCGCCGATCTCAGTGAGGGGTGCCAGCGAATTTCAGAAATGTTGCAAATCCCGTATGTTTTTGCGCCTTGACCCCGCCGATCTGCGTGAGGGGTGTCACCGAATGTCAGATCCATTGTGTTTTTGGACCCTGACCCTGCCGATCTGCGTGAGGGGTGCCAGCAAATTTGAAAAACATTGCAAATCATAAGTTTTTGGACACTGACCCGCCGATCTGCGTGAGGGGTGCCACCGAATTTCAGAGATGTAGCAAATCCTTTGCGTTTTTGGACCCTGACCCCGCCGATCTGCGTGAGGGGTGTCAATTTCTACCCACCCTAGCAATTCAGAGCATACGCTCAGGGCGTGGTAAAAATATCCGTTTTGTGCCCCCCCCCTCGCGCGGTCCATCAACAAGGAACAGTAAGCAGCAAGAAGCAGAACTCTATCAACAAGGAACAGTAAGCAGCAAGAAACAGAACTGTAACAGTGGAAACTGGAAGCTGCAACTGGTACAGGAAACTGCGAACCTTCGTCCTACAGCCTGGTGGCCCCACAAGGGGGCCGGCGGATATACACATATATATATATATAGACATATGTATAAACATATATATATATATATACAATTGATAGATAGCGAATATAATGTATACTATAAGTGATATATATATACATCTATATATATATGTATATATTATCAGGAGAACCGACAAAAGCTGACACCCACGAAGATCCTGGGAGAAGCATGGGAGGTGGAGGGAAACAACCACACCCAGGTGGCATGGAGAAGGGCTGGGACGCCTGGAGGCTGCGTCGAGCTGCCTGCGTCTCCCTGCGCCCCCCTCCGTGGGCAGACCTCGTCGCCCCCGGGGCTCTTGCGTGGGCCGGCCTCGCCGCGCCCAGGCCCGCCGCCTCTCGGGGCGGAAGGGAGGGCCCTGCGGCACGCCCGACCTGCCGCACGGCTCGCCGGCGGCGCAGAGCAAGCTTTTTGTTCGGGGGCCTCGAGACGGGGGTCAGTGCAAACGGGGGTGAGCCAGAGCGCCCGATCCTGCAGGATTCTGCAGGGCCAGGTGTTTGTTTGGTCTTTTTATCATGTTTCTTGTGTTTTGTTTGTCACGCTATTTGTTCATCGCACTTGTGCTTTATCGCACTCTTTCTTGTTTGTCACACTTGTTTGTGTGCAGCACGCTTGTTTTTGTTTGATCCCCCTTGTTTTTTCTTCACGCCTGTTGTGTCATCACACTTGTTCGGAGCAGCCTGCAGGGGCGCGGAGGCTCGTTTCGGGGTGCGGAGGCCCCCTCAGGGCGCGGAGGCCCCCTCTGGGGACGCGGAGGCCCCTCTCCAGGGCGCCAAGGGCGGGGCCCGGCGCCAGCCCTGCCCCAGACGACTGCCAGCCTCTCCCCGGGGGCGCGCGGGGGAGGGGCTGGCCGCCAAGGCGGGACGAGGTGCAAAAGAGCAGCGCGTCGTGGGCTTCGGTGTGGCCGCAAGGTCTTTCACTCCCCGGCCTCTTCTGCGTGGGCCCCCCCCCCGTGGCTGCACGTCTTCGGCGCGCTTCGTGGCCCCCAGAATGTATATGCCTTTCGTGGCCCCCGCTCGTTCGCGCCCGTCGCGGGCCCATGTGCATGCCCTTCGTGGCCCCGCTGTCGCCCTTTGTGGCCTCCTCGCTGTCCTACATGGCCCCGTTGTTGCCCTCAGTGGCCCCGTCGTTGCCTTCTGTGGCCCCGCACTATCTGCCCTTCGGTTTCGGGCACGGGCGCCAACGAGGCGGAATTTCGGGAACCCACCAGCGCACGGGGCCCCACGAGGCGCCCACGAGTCGGCACCGGCGTCGCGCGGCGAATCCCAGGGGAGCCTGCCTGGCGCATTGCACTGGGCGCCCGCGAGGCGCCCGCGTTTCGGGCACGGGCCCAAACGAGGCGAACTTGGGAAACCCGCCCAGCGCAAGGGGCGCCCACGAGGCGCCCACGAGCCCGCACCGGCGTCGCGCGGCGAATCACAAAGGGACCCACCCAGCGCATTGCACTGGTCGCCCGCGAGGCGCCTGCGTGCGCCAACGAGGCGGAATTTCGGGAAACCCGCCCAGCGCACGGGGCGCCCACGAGGCGCCCACGAGCCGGCACCGGCGTCGCGCGGCGAATCACAAAGGAAGCCCACCCAGCGCATTAGTCGGTATCGCTCGGACGTGTGCACTTTCTCCCGGCGGGGATCATTGATCATTGATCAGCGAGCGAAGAACGGTATAAAATAAACTTTCCGCCGTCGGGGGCACCTGCCCCTGGGCGGCTGGAAAGTTTATACCCCTACGGTGCCACCGTGAGGGTATAAACTTTCCAGTCGCCGTGGGGCAGGTGTCCCCGACGGCGAAAAAGTTTACTGTATACCGTTCTTCGCCCGTTAGTCATTGAGGAGCATCCTGGGTCACCCTGAGAAAGAAGCCGCGCACGGGACCGAACAAGCGCACAAGGACTGGGCGTCCGAGCGAGGGCCAGATGGCGCTCGGCGCCCGCGAGGCGCCCGCGCGTGGGGCACGGGCGCCGACGAGGCGAAGCTGGGCCAGGGCCCACCCAGCGCGCGGGGCGCCCACGAGGCGCCCGCGAGCGGGCGCGGGCGCCAATGCTGCGAAGAGTCGGGAGCCCTCCTCCTCCTCCTCCTCCTCCTCCTCTTCCTCCTCGTCGACGGATTCCAGGCAGCGAAGACTCTGGACGCACGGGAAGAATGGGTACAATGCCCAACAGCAGTTCTTGCTCATTTTGAACCGGATTCGCTGTCCACGCCGCCGCGGCTTGTGTCCATTCGAGACAGAAGGCCGCCTGCCCAACAGTGGCCGCTGCTGGTTTGGGACAACATCTGTTGTTGGGCATCGTACCCATTCTTTCCGTGCCCATTTCGGGCGTCCAGAAAGTCAGTCAAGCCGTGGCGAAGCGTCCTGGCGTGCCGATGGTCCTACCAGGCAGTGTTCTACGAGCCATTTTCCGGTGGTGCCCACGAGATGTTCTGAGAACAGTTCTGGCGGAGCTCGTCCTGTTTTAAAGCATCGGGCCTGCGTTCTGAGAACATTGTTTTGGTTCTGAGGACGTTTTTGGGTTCTAAAACATTTCGTAGTAGGACTATAGGAATGCTGGGACGGTCGGTCCCTGCTCAAGTAAGCACCTGTAAGTGCGAGCATTGTTTTGGGAAGGCGGTAGCATTCAAACACACGCGACCCTTATTTGGGTGATGAGGAGATTCGGGGGCGGGAAACGAACGTCCAGTCTCATTGTCGATTCCACGATCGACATCACTACCGATAGCATCATCGATGTCACTATCGATCTTACGATCGATATCGCTATCGATCTCACGATCGATTTCAGTCGATCGATCTCATGTTTGATGTCACCATCGGTTCCACAAGCAATATCACGGGCAATCTTACAATCGATCTCACTATCTCTCACGTGATCGATCTGACTACCGATCCCACTGTCGATCTCACAATCGAGTTCATTCGAGCGATTGCAATATCGATATTACTATCGCTCTCCCCCCCGATCCCATTAGCGATCCCACTATCGATCCCGCTAACGATTTTACTGTAGATCTCACTGTTGACCCCGCTCTCGGTCTCACTATCGATCTCACTATCGGTTTCGCCATCGATCTCAGGATCGATTTCACTACAGGACACCGACGAGGCACCGACGGGACACCATCGGGACACCATCGGGACACCATCGGGACACAATCGGGACACCGACGGAACACCATTGGGACACCGCGGGACACCGACCGGACACCGCCAGGGACACCGCGGGACACCACGGGACACCGGGGGACACCATCGGGACACCACGGGACACCATGGGATACTATTGCGGCACCGCGGCGGGACCC